TATATATATATATATATATATATATATATATATATATATATATATATATATATATATATATATATATATATATATATATATATATACACGCATACAAATGTATACTGTAACATATACGTGATATTCGAAATATTATAATAAAAAGAAATAAATCAGATAACAGCATAAATATAAATTCATTCATTTATTCTTTTATGTTTAGTATTTATGTAAATGATTTTATCATTGCATAATGTTAACATAAATTAATTCATTATTGTATTGCTTAATGTTTAATGTTAACCGAAGTCAAGGTATATTATTGTTTACATAATGTTAATTAATTTATTAATTTAATTGGAAAAAAAAATCTTCACATGCAATAAATTAATGAATTCAAGAATTATAAATTTGGTATAAATATTTATTATAAATTTAGCGTTATGTTTTTATTTGCAATACAATCTTTTGACTTTATCCAACAAATCATTTGAAATTTAATGTTTTGTAAAAAAAAAATTTCCATTTTAAATAAAATCGTTGCATAATGTATCATACAATTGTTAAAATTATCACCTTTACTTAATTAGGTGATAATTAAAAATTTTTTTTTACTAAATTAAATTATCACCTTTATTTTTCTTTACTAAATTATCACCTTTACTTTACTTAATTAGACGTCTTTTTTATAATGAATAAATTGAATTGATTGCATAAGCAGAATAGAAAGGAAGGGATGATAACAAGGCAAAAGATATGCAAAAGATGATATCATCGCATCAACTGAATTGTCATTTGTATTAATGACACCAGAAATAATTGAAACATACTAAAAGTATAAAAAGTGTGCTTAAATGATTCGAAATCCTCTAATATTCAATATTGTTCTATTATATATTGATTAAAATAACTTGCAATTAATTTTAACTAATTTTTTTTTTCTTTTCTAAAAAACTTTGATTTTTTTATCTGTTGAAGATTATTTTTTCCTTTTTTTTTTCTTTTTTTTTATTATTCCATTTAATTACTTTACTTTAAACGAAGCGAAAAATGAGAATGAATTTATTAAAAAGGAAAAAAATTTTCTTTTGAATTATTTTATTTTACAAAAATCTCTTCAAAATACCGTAGTTAAAATGGAAGCAGGAAAAAAAAGACCCATACTTGTTACAGTAATAACAGTTGCGAAAATTTTCACATTCAATTCTAAAATAGCCTTCATTAGCTATTTCTCATTTAAAAAAATTCAGCAATAAAAAGTAATATGGCATTCCTTAAAATTTTGAATATGCCCTAATAGCATGTTTTTCAAAATGTATTGAAACAAAAAATGTAACTTTATCCCATCGTGTAAATTTTTACAAGCTACAGTATAAATTTTTACAAGCTACAGTACGAAAAAATGAAATATTGTATTAAGATGAAAAAGGTGAGAAAAAAAAGGATAAAAAGAAGTTTTAATTTAAGCATGCATCATATCCTACTTCTCAAAATTTCCAGGGCTTCTCAAATTGCAACTTTTTATCCGCCACATTTCATAGCATCAATATTTACTGTAGCAAGACAAACTTTCCATTTTTCAAAAGTTTTAAAAAAATTAAAATAATTTAAGCTATCCTTTTATTTTAACAAAAAATGAAAATTTTTTTTTTTTGGTGGTAAAATATTTCCTGATAAAAATTATAAGTGTTTTTTTCCTTTTCTTTTTTTTTGTTTATTCATACAGTCATGTCTTTGTCATCAGCCATTCATATCTGTTTGACAATCTCATATAACAATATTCATTATCCTAACTTTTCATTAGCCTTTGTTTATATTCTTGATACTCATCAATTTCTGCTTTCAGATATTTGAAAATATTAAGCAAAAGCTGTCGCGAAGCTCCAAATGAAATGAATTGATTAAATAAACCAATGTACTAATCAATCACACAAATTGTAACAATGTTATGAATCATTTAACCAATCTTACATTCCTCAAATTCATTGTCTCATGTGTTTTTCATTGTTATCTTTATCTAAGTTCACATCCTTTCCTTTTTTTCTATGGACTAATAAGCTAAATTTCTTTGTCTAAGAATCAATCTTAATTGCAATGTTTAATGTCCAAAGACTGCACCGTACATTGTATCTATCCTCTACTCTCTTCGATAAATATTTTTACTACTATCCTCTGTGTCATTACAACCTATTTATCCTCTGCGAATTAATAACTTCCTCCTGAATCGACGA